CACTGCGTGTGTGTGTTGGGGGGAGGGAGATGGTGCAAGGCTGCTGGCATGGGGGGGGGAAGAGTGATGGTGCGTGCTGGGGGGCAGCCAAACTGGTAAGCTGGCAGGATCAGGTGTGGCTTTCCCTTTTGACCACCACTACCCAGCCATTGCCTCTACGCCTGGCCTGTGGCCTGATGCCCACCGTGAACCATCCTGCTTTCCCCCACCACCTGCATCCATGTGCCGTCACCGTTCGCTCCCCCCCACCAGCAGCAGCACACGAGCACCGATGGCTTGCAGGCCCCCACGCAGATGTTACTCTCTCCTGTAACCTGTCACCAATCGCATCCCCCTCCCCAGAGCCCCTTTGGATACCCTTCCCAGCACCATCGTTGCCGCCTGCCACCCCATTGTCTGGTGGCTTCTTGTCCCGTGGAGCAAAACACCCGGGTCAAACGGTGTCTGGATGACTGGGCTGGGACAAAGGGCCAGGGAGGAGGGTCAGGGGCCCATTGGCCAAGGAGAATGGCCAGGAGAGGGCCAGCGGAGGAGGAAAGCTGTCGGTGAATGGGCTGAGATGGGTTGCTGGAGGCAAAGTGGGCACAGCCACAGTTGGAAGCCTAAAGTTCCCATTCCAGAACCAGCCAGATCTTCCCCAGCTCAAAGACCTTGCTCATAGTGAAGAGAAGGACAAGGGGGGACATGATAGCAGTGTTCCGATATCTCAGGGGCTGCCCCAAGGAAGAGGGAGTCAAGCTATTCTCCAAAGCGCCTGAAGGCAGGACAAGAAGCAACGGATGGAAACTAATCAAAGAGAGAAGCAACCTAGAATTAAGGAGAAACTTCCTGACAGTTAGAACAATTAACCAGTGGAACAACCTGCCTCCAGAAGTTTTGGGTGCTCCATCACTGGAGGTTTTCAAGAAGAGAGTGGACAGCCATTTGTCTGACATGGTAAAGGGTTTCCTGCCTGAGCAGGGGGTTGGACTAGATGACCTCCAAGGTCCCTTCCAACATTATTATTATTATTACTGTTGTTGTTGTTGTTATTGTGGATCATCGCACAGTCAGCCAGATGTTCAGACTGGATTTGGCATTTTGTTTACCTATCGAGTCCTTCCCAAAGACCTGGGATAGGCAGATGTGGATGTTTGATGGTATTACAGATATCGTCGCAGGATGGAAGCAGTTCCTAGTAAGGCCGCCTTTTGCAATTGACTAATAGCGAATTTGTCAATGCCGATGATGGTGTCCAAGAGGTGCTCCAGTTGTTTTGGGATTGCACCCAAGGCACCTATTACTATTGGTACTACCATTCTTGCCTTTGCCACAGTCTTTCTATTTCTATTTCTATTTCTATTTCTATTTCTATTTCTATTTCTATTTCTATTTCTATTTCTATTTCTATTTCTATTTCTATTTCTATTTCTATTTCTATTTCTATTTCTATTTCTTTCATTATTTCTATTTTATTACTACTACTACTACTACTACTACTACTACTACTACTACTAATAATAATAATAATAATAATAATAATAATAATAATAATAATATTCAGAGGCTAAGAGAGAGAATGTCCGGCCCAAAACTTCAATGGCTGAGGGTGGATCTAAACCAGGGATGTCTAACCTTAGCGACTTTAAGACTTATGGACTTCAACTCCCAGAATCCCCCTCCAACAAGGGGAATTCAACTCTGGGAGTTGACGTCCACAACTCTTTGAGTTGCCGAGGTTGGGAAACGCTACTTACCAATATCCCTTTCTTCAAAATACGGGCGGTTCTCGACATAACATTTAGTGACCGCTCCAAGTTGCAACAGCGCTGAACAAAGTAAGGAGAGAAGCAACCTAGAACTAAGGATAAATTGACAGTAGAACAATTAACCAGTGGAACAACCTGCCTCCAGAAGCGGTGAATGGTCCAACACTGGAAGTTTTTAAGAAGAGACTGGACAGCCATTAGTCTGAAATGGTATAGGGTTTCCTGCCTGAGCAGAGGGTTGGACTAGATGACCTCCAAGGTCCCTTCCAACTTTATTATTATTATTATTATTATTATTATTATTATTATTATTATTATTATTATTATTATTATTACATTTTGCCATACTTACGACCGTTACAGCATCCCCACGGTCACGTGATCAAAATTCGGATGCTGGGCAACGGGTTCGTATTTATGACAGTTGCTGTGTGCCAGATGGGGGTGTCACGTGATCATCTTTTGCGACAAGCAAAGTCAACGGAGAAGCCAGATTCTCCAAACAACCATGTTACTAACTTAACTTCTGCAGGGATTCCTTTAAAGCTGTGGCAAGAAAGGTCGTAAAATGGGGGCCAAACTCACTTAACAATTGTCTCGTTTAGCGACGGAAACGCTAGGCTCGTAAGTCGAGGACTACCTATGCTTTCTACAGGAGGTCAATGACACGTTACCTGTATATACTTCCGAAGCTCAACCTTTAAGTTGACCTTCATTGTTTGGAATCCACTAGATTCTGGAACCTTCCAATTCCGCCATCTTTAAAACTGGAATAAGTAGCTTGTAACTTGCAGGAATGTGTCAGCCCTTAATCACGTTTCTTCCCTTTTCAACAACGTTAAATAATAGGGATATTTATTTTCCTCTCTGCTCTCGGTGTCCACACTTGTGAATTAATTGCCATCAAGTCTTTTTTTATTATTTTTTATTTTGCCCTTTTTTTTTTTTCTCTCCCTGGGGATGAAATCTTATTTTAGCAGTCCTTTTCTAAGCTGAGGAGAATCTTATTTATGCGGTCCTGTTCCCAGCTCTGCTTAGAGGGAGAAGGGCTTGGGGAATCTTTTCCTCCCGATGAGAAAAATATTTTCATGATATAATATATTCCACGTTTAGCATGTCGGGTGGTTTCATGCCGCAGATGAACCGCTGGGAAGGACTTTAGACTTTGAAACCACAACTCGGGTTGTTTATTGCTGAAAATCTTGCTGTTCCATGTGCATTGTGTTCTGAGCAGAGAATTACTCTGTGCATATCTGTAGGGTGCCCAAGGGGGAGGGGGTCAAAAAAGTCAAAATGGCTGGCACAACTTTGCAAAGCCCTGCCTTCTTTTTACACAATATTTTGTTTGCAAGTGGCTGTAATAAATTCACATTGATCTTGTTTCCCGTTTCTCTTTTATTTCTGTGAACATCTTTAATAACAATCATAGTTTTGGACAAGGGCCAGGGGTTTTGTGACACGATCACAGATGCCCTTTTTTACTCACTCCCTGGAAGGTCTCCCTCTCTCTGTGTGTCTATGTGTGTGTGTGTGTGTGTGTGTGTGTGTGTTTATGTTCTTGTATATTCCTTATTTTGTCTTTTTCCCTTGCAAGATGCTTGCAAATAATGTTAGGCCTCTGATCTCCCTTTCCCCCTTTTAGCATCTCGCTGGCTCCATGGGGAGACAGGAACCCACTCAGGATAAAGCAAGGTGCCAGATCCCCTCAAAATAAGTCCATACCAAGGACCAGACACCCCCCCCATAAAACCAAGTCTCTGGACCCCATTTCATTGTCGTCTACCCCCCAAAAAACAAATCTCTTTGTTCTTGGGAATAAATGGATCTCCTTTCTCAACAATATGTCTGGATTTCATTTTTTTATTTGTTCTTGCGCCATCCCGGCTCGTGGAACTCCCCCCTCCCCAAATTATTCTTCTTACAATAACTTCCACTTGGATTTGAAAGAATAGCCCAGGTTAAAACTTATCTCCAATTAAATAAAATCGGAACGGTAGCTGCAGCTAAAACCCGTGGAAGGGGAGTTAAGAACAGATTTACTGAAAAATCACCCTTCCTTCGTTGGCACTGATTTTTTTTAGCATGAAAATGGCCCCCTGGGACTTGCTTTCAACTCCGTGCAGCATTTAATTTCACTCAGCCACCCCCGAGTTTGCTTTTTGCAGAAATCAAAAACATTCTTGAGAAATAAATTTCTCTCACAGCGCAAAGTACAGTGTATCACAACTGTAGATATTTTGTTTATTACTGTCATGGTTCTGGCATTCAGTCTGGTGAGGCAGCGAGTCTTTTCAAAACGGCCGGCCCCCTTTGCCGGGATGACGGTGATCCTGATTTATTCTCATTTCAAAAGCCTTGGTTATCTCTCTTTTTGTCCAACGTATAAGAGCGGGTACTATAAAATCCATTTTCTCCCTGTCTTCGTCCTGCAGATCATCATAAATAGATTCAAGATCACGTGAAGTATTAGTCCTGCTTTACAAAGCCTTAGTAAGGCCACACTTGGAATACTGCGTCCACTTTTGGTCACCACAATATAAAAAAGATGTTGAGACTCTGGAAAGAGTGCAGAGAAGAGCAACAAAGACGATTAGGGGGCGGGAGGCTAAAACATACGAAGAACAATTGCAAGAATTGGGTATGTCTAGTCTAGTGAAAACAAGGTGTAGGCGATTTCATGATAGCCATGTTCCAATATTTGAGGGGCTGCCCCAAAGAAGAGGGGGGTCAAACTATTTTCCAAAGCACCAAAAGGCAAGTTGAGAAACGATGGATGGAAATTAACCCAGGAGAGAAGCAACCTAGAACCAAGGAGAAATTTTCGTAATGGTGAGAACAATCAACTAATGGAACGGCTTGCCTTCAGAAGTTGCGGGTGCCCCATCACTGGAGGCTTTCAAGAAGAGATCGGACAGCCATTTGTCTGAAATGGTACCGGGGGGTCTCCTGCTTGAGCAGGGGGTTGGACTAGATGACCTCCAAGGTCCCTTCCAACTCTGTTATTCTATGCTTCTATGCTAGCAAAATACGGTGCCGGGCATGTTCCTTTCTCTGTAAATTCCCGGATCGGGGAAATTCTTAGGAATTTGGAATGCCAAATGCAATCCAAGTAATTTCCCAGATGACAAAGCCAGCTGCCATAAATAAACCGAGTGTGTCACTGGAGAGCTTGAAAAAAAATCCTAGAACCCAGCTACAACGTTTAGAGAAAAAAAAAATTATCTTTTTTTGTTGTTTTTTTTAGCAAAAAGGAAGAGTCGACATCATCTCTACCCCTTGTAGACTTCTCAAAGTCTAGGAGTTTGTGGTGTTGCTCGGCAAAGCCAAACCCATGGGGTTCCCTATCGCGTTCGCAAACGCCATAATTGCGTTTGAGCCGGACCCTTTGTTGATGCTGATCACCTCCCCGCTGGCTTGCTCAAGTTCCGTCTTCCGGAAGATGTTCTTCATGGTGGACTGGAAGTTGTTGGTGACGAAGCAGTAGACGATGGGATCCATGCAACTGTTGAGGCTGCTTAAGGTGACGGTCACGTGGTAGACCACCAAGCTGAGGTTGTAGGACATGGCTGGGTTGATGGCAATGGCCAGCTGGCGCACGTGGAAGGGGGTGAAGCAGATCATGAAGATGATCAGGACCGTGATGAGGAGCTGCACGGCTCTCATCCGCCTCTCCCGGCTCTGGTGCATAAGCGTGGGCTTGGAAAGGGCGCACATGATCCTGGTGGTGAAGAAGGTGAGGATGATCAGGGGGAAGAAGTACTCGCAGACCATCAAGGGCAAGATCTGCGCAATGCAGCAGTAGGAGAACTTCACGGCCAGGGTGAGGATGGAGAAGGTGATCACGGTGGCGAAGGTCCAGATGAAAGCACAGATCCCTTTGGCGTAGTCGGGGTTCCTCCACCTGCGCGAGGCTTCCACCTGGACAATGGCCAGGTACCGGTCAATGCAGATGCACGTGAGGAAGAGGATGCTACAGTACATGTTGACAAAATAGGTGAAAATGTGGACGAGCGCACAGGTGTGGCAGTCCTTGGCGCTGTAGTGCACAATGATCCGGACAGGTAAAGAGAAGCCCACCAGCAGATCGGTGATGATCAGATTGATGGTATAGATGACCGAGGTGGTTTTCGTTTTCGTGCGGAAGCAGAAGACGTAGAGAGCTACAGAGTTCAACACCACGCCCATCAGGAAGATGATGGTATTGATCACCACCAGGACTATCCACAAGGTATGAAATCTGTCCGAGAGTTCTCCATCCAGGTGGACAAATTTGTTAAACATATTGCTGTAGTTGGAGGACACCGTAGAATTGTTGGAAGGCTCCATGGTCAATGCCGCTAATGGTACCTACAAGACAACAAACAAAGATGCAGGTTCACAGTCGATTTTTATACTGCTCAATAGTCTATGGCAGTGATGGCGAACCTTTTATAGACTGAGTGCCCAAATCCTGGCCCTGCCCCCACTCCACCCCCTGCCCTGCCCCTGCTCCAACCCCACCCCACCTGCCTGCAGGGCCATTCACCACCTCCAGGGCCCGCTGCAGATCGCCCAGCAGCACCATGGCAGCCATGCCCTCTGCCCGTGCCCCACAGCATCAACTGTGCACGATGGGGTATGGGGGCAGAGTCTTGTCTACGCTGCCTGGCTGCCATGTCCTTGGCTGCACTGCTTCACGTGGGCCATGCTCGGGGGCGACTCTCCTCCAGGGGGGCTGCTGGTGAGGGGGTCGCAGGGGGAGGCAAGGCTGGGGCAATGGCACGTGTGCCCACAGAGAGGGCTCCGAGTGCCGCCTCTGGCACCCATGCCATAGGTTTGCCACCACTGGTCTATGGAGATTCTCGGTCATCCACATCATGGTTGTCCCAAAGATGACTTTTCACGAGGCAACTGGACTTCCTTGTTTTTCTTTGAAGACGTTTCACTTCTCATCCAAGAAGCTTCTCCAGCTCTAACTGGATGGTGGGGGAATGGAAGGATTTATACTCCTTGCAGACAGCTGGTCTATCTCCAATCTACAACACAGTCCTTTCAACAGTTCCAAGAGGGCTCTACACCCATTTGCACCACTCAGGTGACCCTGAGGACACAGCTAAACCTCCAAGTGGCCTCAATGACTCTCTAAAAGAACACAAATGACCAGCTGTCTGCAAGGAGTATAAATCCTTCCATTCCTCACCATCCAAACAGAGCTGAAGAAGCTTCTTGGATGAGAAGTGAAAAGTCTTCAAAGAGAAAAAAGAACGTCCAAATTGCCTCTCAAAAAGACACCTTTGGGACTGCTCAGTAATGTAATCTTGAGGTCAAGTATAACTTTTAGGAACGAGGTTAGGACCCAAAGCTTCCTGTCTCTACCCTTATTTGCAAATATCCCAACTACTCCCGGATGAGAGAAAGATCCTATTGCTTTGCACACCCAAAGCATGGAATACAGATAGCACAACAGATTTGTAGCAAGCCGTCATTTAACTAGGTTCCCAGTTCTTCCAGGATAGGTAGTCCTGTACTGAACTAAACCGTTCGTTTAGAATGAAGTTACAACAACTCTGAAAAAGGTGACTTTTGACCGTTTTTCAATGGTTTTACAACTGTTGCAGCATCCCCATGGTCACGTGATCAAAATTCAGACACCTGGAAACTGACTTGTATTTATGACGGTTGCCGCGTCCCGGGGTCATGTGATCACCGTTTGTTGACCCCCCCTGACCAGTAAAGTCAATGGGGGAAACCAGGTTCACTTAACAACCGTGTTCCTAACTTAACAACTGCAGTGATTCACGTAACAACGGTGGCAGGAAAGGTCGCAAAATGGGTTGTGGGAAGAATCCAGAGAAAGACATATTTTGGGAAATATTAAAAAGGCAGAATATTATATTTCCCCAAAGGATCTTAAAGGCAGAAACCAACCCTGTCCCCAAGTCTCTCTGCCCCAAACAGAAACCGGGTCTGCAGAAATGCAGATGTGATAATCCTGTCAGAAAGATTGGAGTCAGGAAGCTGGGATTAGAAAGACACAGATTCCTAGAATCAACAATCCTTCACACCAACAAATCCAACAGTAATCAGCCACAGCCCCAGGGAAGCAAGATATGACCTTTGAGACATAATAGGATTAACCCACCACCATCAGAATACCAAAAAGGCACACTCAGACCCAGGTCAAAGTTCATGCCACAGGAACAACTCCAAACAAAAGCCCAAGAAGGTATAAAACCCCACCACTCCTTGCTCCATGTGGTCAGTTTTTTCTCAGAGCCGTGTTTCTGTCTGGCTCTGCTCTTCAATAAACTGCAACCTTCTTTCTAAAGCAGTCTCCATTTTGTTTATTCCCAGCTTGGACTGGACCCCACTGAAGATTTTTCTTTCGACAGAGTCAACATTCACGCAACAACCCTCTTGCTGAACCACATAAATTTTGGGCTCAATTGTGGTCTTAATTCGAGGACTTACTGTAAATCATCTTAATCAACAAACCAATAAAGTTTAAAGTTCCGCTTGTCTGCATTTTATAGCAGAAGAACTAATCTTAACTCTTCTTTTAAAAAAAGCTCAAGTGATTTACAAAAGGTGTTAAAAAGTAAAAAAAAAACTTTTAAAAGAAAATCACATGAGAACTTTTTGACCTCGGGTGGGCTGTAACGTATTGCCTAATATGGATTTGCGGCATTTTTTTTTCATGCAGCCGACTTGTAGTAAAAAAAACAGTTTTCCAAGCTGCTGCCAAAGCCTTGCTAAACCATTATTTGGCAGCAGGGGAGGAGAAAACCCCGGGAGACTGAACGGGGAAAGGGTGAGAATTGCTGCTTTTGTGCCTTGTGATTAACCCGGTTAATGCGTTAATCCATTAACCTGGTTAATGCGTTAATCCATTTCCTAGGCTCGTGGACAGCTTTCAACACAAATTTGACAAACAGCTGGATTTGCACAATGCCCAAAGCTGGAAAACTCCCCAGCCAAGGTTAGATAAATTGAATTTACTATGTCGTGTAAAGGCAGTGTAGAAACACATCATCAGAGCAAAAGGTTGAAGTTAGAGAAGAGTTTTCACTTTCAATAATATAATTCCAACAAACATTTAGCCTGGTAGTTTCGGCTTTCTACATCTCTCGTGTCTCGAAACAAATCAAACCTAGCTGGTATTTATTACTCCTGCCTTGCTCCTAATAGCTGGATCTAATCCTGTGGTCTGTCCTGCCTTAATTTTCCAACAGCTCTGTGTTTAAATGTTCCTCCGGGTAATTTGTCACATTATTTATACACAAAGGGTTAAACATCTTCTTGGCAAGTTCTTGCTCAGCTGGGGCAGAGATTGGCCAAATATGGTATTTTGCTTTGGGGGAACGCGTGAAGCTGTGATCTTCCGCGTCCAGGAGGAACAGAAAGATCTGGCAGACATCAAGATTGAACGGGAATATCTTTGAGGAGATATTTAGAGATACGTAAGGAAGAGGGCGAAAGACGACGGTTCTAGAAACCTATTCCTCACTTCAGCTGTATTCTCAACAAGACCTGACATCCGGGGACCCTCCCCCCCCCCAAAAAAAAGATTTTACTTCACTTTTGATCAGTGATCCCAAACGATTTTATCCCACTCTGGATTTGGAGAATCAAGGATTATTCTCCTGGATTGGCTAAGCTTATTTCGGACATATTTTTCTTAGGTCCAACTGAACGACGTGAATCATTCATGACAACAAACCAACAATACAATACTGCACAATACAGGCAGTCTTGACTTACAACAGTTCATTTAGTGACCGTTGAAAGTTACGAAGGCACTGAAAAAAGCGACTTATGACCGCTTTTCACACTTACGACCGTTGAAGCCATCTCCATGGTCACGTGATCCAAATTCCGACCCTTGGCGACTGACTCATATTTATGACGGTTGCAGGGTCCCCCTGGGGCTGTGTGAACCCCTTTGGCGACCTTCTGACAAGCAAAAATCCAAGGGGAAGACAGATTCACTTAACAACCAGGTTACTAACTTACCCACTGCAGTGATTCACTTAACAACTGAGGCAAGGAAGATCGCAAAATGGGGCACTTAAAAAAAGTCTCCCTTAACCATAGAAATTGTGGGCTGAGTTGTGGTTGTTAAAATGAGGACCACCTGTATATCAAACAACAATCCCAGAAAGGGCTTTTTGTGATTAAGACCACCAGGGAAATCAAGAAATCCGGACAGTTCAAAAGTGTACGAAAAATTATTGTAAGCTTAAGTTCTCTACAAGAATCTGAGCTCCTAGCGGTCAAAGGAAATTAGAGTGAGTTAAGAACAGAAGGAATTCAAGGTGGTCTGGCCTTTGATCTCTTGTGGGCACGCAGGGACTCATGACTGGTGACGCATTTGACCCCTCCCTCCAGGGTCATCTCCTGCAGACCAATCCTAGAACTTGGAGATCAATCTCTGCCCACTGCTTAATTGATCAGGAAAGACAGAAAGGAATATAATAGAATAGAATAACAGAGTTGGAAGGGACCTTGGAGGTCATCTAGTCCAACCCCCTGCTCAGGCAGGAAACCCTATACCCTTTCAGACAAATGGCTGTCCAGTCTCTTCTTAAAAACTTCCAGTGTTGGAGCATTCACAACTTCTGGAGGCAGGTTGTTCCACTGGTTAATTGTTCTACTGTCAATTTCTCCTTAGTTCTAGGTTGCTTCTCTCCTTGATTAGTTTCCATCCGTTGCTTCTTGTCCTGCCTTCAGGCATTTTGGAAAATAGCTTGACTCCCTCTTCTTTGTGGCAGCCCCTGAGATATTGGAACACTACTATCATGTCCCCCCTCGTCCTTCTTTTCATTAAACTAGACGTACCCAATTCCAGCAGCCTTTCTTTATATGTTTTGGCTCCAGAACCAAGAGATGTTCTTTCTAGGTCCAAGACTATCTGGACAGAAATGAATCCAGACAATAGGTCTAGCATTGACTTGGGAAGACCCAGTGATGGAGATCCATTGTTTCTCATCCTTCCCTCTGGTAATTGGTGAATAATGTGACCCCCTCCTCTTCTTTGTGGCAGCCCCTCAGATACTAGAAGACTGCTATCATGTCTCCCCTGTTTCTTCTTTTCTCTAGACTGGCCAAACCCATGTCCCGCAGCCGTTCTTCGTATGTTTTAGTCTCCAGGCCTTTGATCATCTTAGTTGCTCTTCTCTGAATTTTTTCCAAACTCTCAACATCTTTTTTTGTGATATGGTGACCAAAATTGGCGGCAGTATTCCAGGTGTGACCTCACTAGGGTTTTATAAAGCGGTAGTAATACTTCTTGTGATCTTGATTCTATGCCTTGGACTCACAGCGTCCCTACAAACAGAAGTCCAATTAAGAGGGATACAAAAAAATCA